ATCCACTTCTGAAATAGCAGGCCTCTGAAAATCCTATGTACATTTAATATATAATCATTTTTAAAAGACATTTAATGACTTTAAAATGTGCAAATAATCTCAGAATAGATAATCTTTTGCATTTAATAACTTTATTTAATGAGAACATTACTTTTAGCAAAAACATGGATTTACAGAAGAGTAACTGAGCTTAATAACCAGTTGTCTATGGACAATTCTGATTCCTGGTTGCCTCCTGTATCAGAGTACCACTGTGCTCCATGGTGTTTTCAAGGATTTATTTATTTATTTATTTTAGATCACCAGGCCTTACTTCCAACACACTTCTGAGTGGACTCAAACTTCCAACTTTTTGGCTACTAGCGAAGTGTGTTAACCATTTGTACCACTCCTGGGTTCTTGAAAAGGCTTGTTTTAATAAAATATTCCAGACACAGAAAAATCGTGGATAATGTAATGAACACCCTCTGCTCAACTAAAGACGTTTAAAAAAATTAAAAACAACACCATGTTGACTGAGTCCTGTTAACTGAGTCCTAGGTCCTTATTCCTGAGCTCTGGAGCAGAGATAACTATTAACAGAACATTGACCTTTCTCACTTGCCGGTTTCCAGACATTCACTACATATTCAGGATCTTCTTTTAGTGCAGCCAGGTGGCCTGTGGAGACTCAAGGCCAACACTAATAGTGTCCCTTCAGTGAAGACCTGCACAGAAATCACTTAACCTGGGAAACATCTTACTGTTTGATCTGGGCCTGACATTCTCAGAAAGTAAAAAGCCCCTTGGCAGTTAGGGATGATCCATGTACTTTACTGATTTTCTCACGGCTAACATCCTTTTCCCTAAGTATATAACAAGCATAAAAACAAATCTTTAAGGGCTTTCTGATTTCAGGGTCTTTTTAGTCTATTTAAAAATATTAAGCAGGAGAAATATTTACATATATAAACACTCTTCTTGTTCTAGGGAACTCTGGTAAGAAGCTGCACTGTAATCCCAAAGGCACATCATTTGAATCCACCAGATTCAAACCACGTGTGCATCCTTCTCCCAGCTCTGCAGGAGGATAGGCAGTCTCCTTCCATGATATTTACTGGCTCTGAAAAGTTTCTGGAGGGTGAGTTGTGGGTCTGTTCCAACTTGACAGGACACAACATCTTGTTTTAGACACTCTGCTATGTACTCTCATCTATGATATTTTATATAATCCCACTATGTACTACATTTATTTGGAAGCCTGAGCAGCATGCACTTCCTAAACAATATGCCTCTGGAAATTCTATGAACTTTGATAAATGTCGATGGTTGTAGAGGGACTTCAGACCTTTTTGTTCAATAGGGTCGCTATGAGTTGTGCTCAACTTGAATGCAATCAACAACATCCTTTTACAACCATGTTTGCAGATAATTCCCACCACCTTGAGCTTTAGGCTTCTCTGCTAGAAGGCATTGCTTATGTAACCTAGAGTTCTTAGAACTTCAGATTCTCTGCCTGACTGTGAGTTTTCTTTCTCACAGATGGTCTGAGGGGACAAAAGCAGTGTTCTTGGGGGTCACAGAGTAAGCTGTGGTGGAGGAAGGATGACCATCTAAGACCCCAGGGTTCCAGGTCAAAATCCAGTTTTCTATACTGAAGGTAGTTCGGCATTCAAGTTTTGTTGGTGGAGACGCTGTTATTGCTGTTAATATACATGCTACATAACGCTAAAGAGTCAAGTTGCCAGTTTAAAGACTAAGGTGCACCTGGTATTTTTCAATTGTTTCCTATGAATCTGAGCGTTGGAGAATGAATCAGGATGAAAAGGAATCGACACACTTGAACATGCTGTTGGAAAGAGTACTCACTATCCCATGGACTACCAAAAGAACAAACAAACTTTGTCCTCAAAGAAGAGTAGTAGGGTTTCTTCTTAGAGGCAAGGATGATGAAAATTCATCTTCTAAACTCTCAAGAGTAGTGAAGAACAACGACGTCAGGCTGGAGACTAAGGTGCACCTGATCCAGGCTATAGTCTTCGCAATTACGTGCTATACATCAGAGAGTTGGACAGTGAATAGGGATGATAGAAGGAGAATTGATGCCTTTGGGCTATGGTTCTGGAGAAGAGTGCTGAATATACCATGGACTGCTAGGAGAACAAACAGGTTTGTCCTGGAGAAAGTGAAGCCGGAATGCTCCTTGGAATCAAGGATTCTGAAGCTTCGTCTGACATTACTTTGGGCATGATGAAAGGAGGGACTTGTCCTTGGAGAGGGACATCATGTTTGGGAGAGTTGAGGGACAGCTCAGGAGAGGAAGACCTTCGATGAGATGGATCGATTCTGAGTGGAGTGGTGGGAATGAGTCTCATGTTTGAGACGGCAAGGTTGGCACAGGATAGAACGGCGTTTAGGGCTCTTGTATGTAGGGTCGCTATGAGTCGCAAGTGACTCGATGGCACATAACAACAACATACTTAGAGAATGTTGTCAGGTGGGGTCAGTTCTCTGAAAAGATGTCAAGATAAGAAAGGGGGAGGATCAAAGAAAGATCCTCAAGGAGACACTGATGCAGAGACTAATCAGGACGGTTGGTTTTGGGGGAGAGCTTCAGGATGGTGTAGACTGGTCAGGATGGTCAAGACTCAGACTTGTTCACTGGGTCACTACTGACGGCACCGAACAAAATCAATACAGTTCTACCATTTCCAAGACATGGGAATCATAACTGTAAAAACAGGAAACTCTTTAAACGCCAGGGAGCAAACAAATAGAAAAAGAGGACTTTCAGGATATATATATTTTCCCCAAAGGTCGGGAAAATGCACTCACTGCCCACTTCTCAAAAGTTGAGACCTTCCCAGTGACGGGTGTCTGCCTCGGCGCTGGCTGGGGCCGAGGTCCTGCTCACCTCTGGGGCCGCCATGTCAGGATCTGTTGACCACGGGCCGCCCTGTGGGGGCCGCCCAACAGTAGTCCCGCCCATCACCGTGGCCGCCCGGCGGGGTCCCGCTCACCATGGCGTCCGAGCCGTGCCCCCCTAGTGACGTGGGGAAGCGCACGTCCCGCACAGAGAGCCCGGAGATCCTGCCGTGCACCATTGCGCCCCAGCCTCGAGCCTCCTGTGCGCGTCTGCGCGCGGGGCGGCGTGAGGCTGGGGCGGGCGGGGGAGGTGCCGGGCTCGGCGCGCGAACACACACATGACGCGCCGGGCACTGTGGGCTGGCGGAGGTTCCCAGAGCGCGCCCTCTCTCGCCGCGTTTCCGGCTAGAGCGGCCCGGGCGGTACCTGCGCCGACGTGCTGCGCAGACACTCTTGGGCGCGTCTTTGTCACGCTACTACTGGTGGAGTGAAGGAATTCTCCCAGACGCGAATTTGGGCCAGACTGTATACAGAAAAATGGACAGAAACCTCAACCAAACCACAAGCATCGTCACAAAATCGGAATCTACTCCTGGCTGACCCTGCAGTGAGCTTTCAAAGGCTGTATAACTTGCATGGGAGGAGATTACCCATCTTTCTCCTGAGGAGTGACTGGTGCTCTCGAACTACCTGGGTACCATTGATTGAAACTACGCAGAAGGACCCTATGAACAACAAATCTGAGCCCTGTTCTATCCTGCACCATCCTCACATCTCTGATAGGCTTGAGCCCATTGATACACTCGCTGTATCAGTCCATCTTGTTTAAAATCTTCCTTAATTTTCCTTAAGCTCCACCTTTCCCATCATGACATCTTTTCTAAGGACTGGTGTTTCCTGATAACATGTCCAAAGTATGTGAGATGAAGTTTCACCCGGGCTTCACTTTTCCCAAGACATACGTATTTTATCTTGGCAGACCATGGCGTATCCAATATTCTTCTCCAACATCACAATTCAAAGACATCGTCTCTTCTTCTGCCACCCTTATTCGTTGTCTAACAAACTGTGGCTAACTCTGAGAAGAATAGGAATCCCAGAACACTTGATCGTGCAAAATCTATACTTGGATCAAGAGGCAGTCGTCAGAACAGAGCAAGGAAACACTGCATGGTTCAAAATTGGGAAGGGTGTACTCCACGGATGTGTCCTGTCTCCATACCTTTTCAATCTATATGCAGAACAGATTATTTGGAAGGCTGGGCTGTATGAGGAGAAATGTGGCATCAGGATTGGAGGGAAGACTCATCAGTAATCTGCGTTATGCAGATGACACAACCCTCCTTGCTGAAATTGACGAGGACCTGAGGTGCTTGCTGCAGAAAGTCATGGACTATAGTCGACAATATGGATTGAAGTTCAACATCAAGAAAATTCTCACTATTGGGCTGATTGGCAGCATAATGATGGAAGGTGAAGAGATTGTAAACAGCTTTAGTTTGCTGGGCTGAATCAACACTCTTGCCACCAGCAGCCAAGAAATTAAAAGACATATTGCATTGGGAAAGTCTGTTGTTAGAGACCTCTCCAATGTGCTAAAGAGCCATGATGTCAGTCTGGAGACTGAGGTTTGCCTGATCCAGGCCATGGTCTTTACAATCACTTGCTATGTGTTAGAGACCTGGACCATGACCGGGAATGATAAGAGAATTGATGCTTCTGAGCTGTGGTGTTGGAGAAGACTACTGAATATACCATTGACTGCTAAGAAGACGAACATACTCATTTTGGAGAGGGTTAAGCCAAGATGCTCCTTAGAGGCAACGATCCTGAAGCTGCATCTGACATACTTTGGACTTGTTGCAAGGAGGGACCAGTTCTTGGAGAGGGACATCATGCTTGGGAGGGTGGAGGGACAGCGCATGAGGGGAAGACCCTCTATGAGATGGATTGATTTAATGACTGGGGTAGTGGGGTTGGTGTGTCAGAGACAGTAAGATTGGCACATGATAGAGCAGGGTTAGGGCTGTTGCACATTGAATCGCTTTGACTCGCAGATGTCACTATGAGTTGCAGGCACATGATAACAAGACTGTGTAGGGATTAATTTAGTGTCTTGCTCAAGGCCATACAGCTAATTAATGGACAGTGTCCTGGTTTCAAGGCCTGATTTCTATCCTCTGTATTACAAGATTTCTTATTTTACAGAAATAAAAAAATGTTTAATATTTTTCATTTTTGTAGTTTATTTTATGTTTTATAGAAACAACATTGTTGTTGTTATATATGGACTTGTGACTGACCCTACAGCAGGTTTTCAGAGGTTTAAAATCACATGGGTAAAGATTGCCCATCTTTCTGCTAATGAAAAGGTCAGACCCACCAGTCATCTAGGGAAAATGATGGGCAGTCTTAGCCTAAAAAGCCTTGTAAAGCAAAGGAGGGTTGACAGTTACAGGATCCCTCAGAACTTCAGAACATGGTGCAAACTATGGACATATTTTTTCTAAAAAAAATAAAAAACTACTCAAGTTTTCACACCATTTTTGAAGTTTTGTTGACCCTTTTGCCTTGCTTTGCCAAACCTGTTCCCATCAAATTGTTTCTGACTCCATGACTTTATAGAGCAGAGGAGAACTGTCCTATTGAATTCCAAGGCTGAAATCATAGCAGAAGCAGACTCTTCCTTTACAGATAGCATCTTTCTGACATGGAGGAGCTGATGGTTCAGACTGTGGACTTACTGGTTAGCATCCTGGCACTCAACCTGAGTGCTACCTCTTCCCTGGCTAGAGGGTACCAATGCTTCATTTCAGCCCACCCTACTAAAGACTTTAAACACAGGCCTTTCACTAAGTCAGTACAAAAAGTTACTTTGTTTTAACAGTTCATTCATGTCTTTAAAAGTATACTACCACTCAGTAGTGGAAGAAATTAAAGTGGCTAAATATGAAAAAAAAAGCATTTTACTAGGTTTGCTCTTTACCTCTAAATTACAAAAGAGGGCCTTTCACTTCACCCTTATATACTCCACTAGTGTTGCCAAATTTAGTAAATAAAAACAAAGGAAGCTTGCCCAGGGGAACAGAATTTGAAATACTACAAGAACTACTTTATTATTATATACTATCTTATGTGATGTTCAGACTATCCTTATACCAAAGAGTTATCTGCTATTTCATGAAATTAAAATTTAATTGGATATTGGATATATATATATGCTATTGTTGTTGTTATGTGCCATTGAGTCGCTTGTGACTCATAGTGACCCTATGTACAAGAGCTCTAAATGCTGTTCTATCCTGTGCCAACCTAGCCATCTCAAACACACGTATTCCCACCGCTCC